AATTGAAATACATTTGCCTTTTCCTCCTACTCTGCCTTAGGGTATTAATTAATCAAACTTAGCATGCTACGTGTATATACTTATAATGAGCAATTAAACCTCATTCAAATTTGTGTGTGTCGTGCCCCTGGTTTTAAGCACAAACAAATTTCAATTGTTAGAAAGTTGTTATATGATGCTCGGGTTACCTATAAGCCAATGGGCCTCTTGTTGGTTACACCTACAGCCAGCTAGGACTTTGCTTTCAGCAAACTCCGACTAAAAATGACATTGAATATATATGGTCTTTGTTGGCTCCTTTCAGGTCTTAGACATTATTACTGAAAGTAAGAAGAATAGCATTTTGCAGAGTAATAAAAGTTTGTGTAGACGTCACTTTGATAATTTTATATACATTTTTATAGCGTTCAATCATTCACTTCCTTCATGTTTTGATTATAATTACAATCTTTAATTTTAATCTACAAATGTTTCACATCGTTTTAATGCTACATTTAAAGAGATAGTATGTTATAAACGATTTGTGTTTTTACAGGTCAGGCGACAGTCGCACATCGGTGGACATTCTTCATGATGTTTGTTAATTTTTTCTACTTAAATGTTTTGTATGTTTTCTGATGTTGTTTTCTTTTTAAATAAATCTTTTTCATATGAGCTTATTTTCTTCAATGTCTGTTTTGAAATCTTATACATTCTTAAAAATAAAGATTTGTCATCTCAGATGACCGTCGTAAAATATACCTCATGCTGTACCTCAAGAAAATGTTTTTGTCCCAATTTTCTATGGAAAGATTCTGCCATGCGTAAATTTCAGAATGCATTTTGATAAGTATTTCTAATCTACCAAAAGTTAGACAAATATCTATTTCCAAGAAAATGGAAAAATAGTTTTCAACACAATAAACAATAATTTTCCACGATAAATTAAAATCCAAGTTGTTTGACATCGAAGACAGGTAATTTTTTTTTTTCAATTAAGATTGAATTTGTAAATTTACTTTCCTTGACATAAGGTATTTACAAACTTATTTAAAATAAAATTCTGGTTGTACCTAAAAGTACTCTGAATTTTGATATTCAAAGGTGCCTAAGTATAAAGTTGACAATATCTATTTAGTTTTTGGAAATCTGGTTTTCCAACAATCTATCAGAATTCCCTTGAGGTACCAATTGCACCACATTATTTGGAAACATTTTTATATGAAACAGAGTTTATTTGAAAACCTGTATTCAAGAAAAGGAAAACACTTGATGTGGCCTTCAAGGGAACACTCAGATACATACTAATTGAGGAATTATCAATTAACAAAAGTTACTTCGATTCATATGCCAGTTCGATATACTGTAAATGAATCATATTTAGCATGTGCCAGAGATGGATTTTGAACAAGTTACCTAAGGTTTGCTTTATGATTGATTTATGAATATAAGTGCACATATGGGCAAGAGAGTGGGAGTCTTACTTAAATTAGAGAAAGTTTCTTTCTGTCAAAAGCCCTATAAAGAATACAAAGTCATGTGTTATACGTTTGCAGTATATTAGAGAGAAAAAATGATTTTGAAAAAATACAACAGAGTCTGACTTCTGTTTCATATTTAGATATTTTATTTTAAAAAGACGTTAATAGTAATCTAACAAGTAAGTTTTATGATAAACAAGATTAACTTTTCAAACGTCAAACTTCCATTACTTATTCAGCAGTATACCTTCATCAACTGCCTGAGGTGTCCATATCTCTCGGTTGATTCGCGGGAGCATGCTCTACCTATTAAAAATATCTGAAAAGGGGTAAAATTATTACAGATAAACAAACTGCTGAAACAAGAATATCAGGAATCTCGTTTAAAGTCACCATTTCGTAAGTTCTATGGTTGATACAATGGCCCAGTCAGCGATGAAGAATATAGAGATAACGAACAATTTATTATTAATTCAAACACTAACTGACGATTTTCATTCTAATTGGTAGGCCATTATTTATACATTGAATTTTCGCAGGCGATGGTCACTCCTCCATGATATCTAATCAAAATATTGATTTGCTCCTGATTTGTATCGTTTTTAATGGTCTACTGTTCGTTATCTCCATAAATCTCCATAAGTTCTATTGACACGTCACCATATCCGGTACCAGAGAAGAGCTCCAAATTTTGACTTACCAATGTATATTTGACACTCGTTGCCATTGAGCAGTGATGAGGGTTTGTTATCGTGTCAACACTTAACGTGACGCGGTGCTTCGATTTTTTTTTCGGGGGGGGGAGGGGGGACGGGGGGGGGTCTCATCCGAAAAACCGGTGACTTAGTGCTTGACCAAGGAACAGTCACTACGTCTGTTTACGTCTATGCTTCTTGTACTATTATGAATACTGTATAGCGGGTTTTCTTGGCGGGTGTAAAATATGGCTGGCGTTTTGCCTGTTCAATGGAATGCCAATAATGTTTTAGCGAACATAAGGTTTCAGGTCTTTGCAGATGGACACTGGGAAGAGTAATGACTATTTTAACGATTTGAATTTTAGCGGATTTTCGTTAAAACGCCAAAATAAGCTATAATTACCATCCCAATAAAATAACACGCTATATGGTACATGTATATTTTTGTTCGCCATACGTATTTGTATGAAGATCAAGCATTATTGTTAAGAAGTTATTACATTTTGTAGATTATAAATCGCAAAGAATAAAACTTACGAGTTCTAATTGAATTAAGGAAGCACTTGTCATTGGTGTTTTTAACGACTGGACGAAAGGAATAGTTATATAAAGCATAGGAAAACTACATGTTTCAATGCTTAGTTTTGAAATATTTGAATTTTCCAAAAGTTCTTTTTATTTTACAAAGTCCAATTTTGATTTGCACCAGTTCTTGAATATGCTGAAGCACAAGTTCTCCTTCACAGCAATTAGTTATTTGATAAGGAGAGGGTATAGGGACATGGTAAACATCTACTGGCCTTACAATTTACTTTGTTTGCAAAAAAAATTACATGTATAAAATTAGTTTAAAGATTTTGTGCAGATTTTCCGTGGGACATACACCCCATAAACATCACAGTGCAATACGAGGGCTGTTCAATAAATAATGTCCTGGACGGTATGACATACAATACTGATATCATATGACATTAAACTTGACTTTCTCTCATTATTAGTGAATCTTTAATGAATTCATAACAGTTAATGTGACCACTTTTCATCACATAGTTTCATCGTGAGAAGCTGGGAAACAAGGGCTATTCGAGCCACTGCATTATAAATCAATGGTAAAGTATCAGTAAACTAGAGTGAAAATAAAAGAATCATTAAAGCTGCTGTAAAACTTGTTAAGAATCCCAAAGAAATGTTCACTAAAATATGTGACATTTACAGCAACCAATGCCTGTTTTATAGACAAATGAACAGGTGGATTTTAATAATAAAAAATTATATAATGGGCATCAAAAATGGGTACCGTCCTTGCAAACAAAAATTATAACAACTTACTGTTTGCCAAATTTCAACAAATAATATTTAATGATGTATGATTGACTTTAAGACACATAGCAAATTCGATCCTGTGCTTCTGAGTCGATTTCGATTTGGACCTTTATTTCTAAAATTCAGCATCGTTTTTAAGTTTTAACATTGAATTTAGATTTTACAATGCAAATTAAACTATATCCATTGCAAAAACCGCAATTAAATTCCATTCAAGAAGGGTTAAGCCAGGAACTATATTTTGTGGCGGAAGGTTTTTTAGAAGAAAATTATCAATTTATCCCTTTTGAACTTTATAGAGCGCTGTTAATTTTAGATTCCTATTTTTCCATACTGGTTGCACACAAAGCTTTTTTTTGGCAGTGAAATGTGTTCTGCGTGTTCTGAAATATCAGTAAAATTCTTTCTTATGAATTTTTCCGAAGAAATATGACAAATATAGAAAATATATTCTGGAAGTCCGGGGAAAAAATGAGCCAATTATAACAGAAAATAGACAAATTTTTCGTATTATCTAAAAATTTACATCATATACTACCACTTTTGATGTTCTTTTCTGAATATTTAAGATAACTTTGACCTACCTTCTGAAATTCAGGAAAAGTAAGTTTAAGACTTTAAAATAATTTTCTTGCTTATCAAATTTTTAATGCAAGAAAAATCTCATTTTGTGAGTGCTGAAAGGTCAAATAATTAATTATGCGTAGCAATTTGAAACTTTTTCATCGTCACAATTTTAAAGTATCTTTTTTAAAATAGACTTATAGTTTATTTTGTTCCATGCTTTATTTGGACAAAAATAAAGGACGGAAAGCGTTGAAGATGTAATTTTTTATTAAGACATAGATTTCAGTGCAAAAAGGCCATATTTAATGTAATGTAGCGCCAAAAGAAGCATATTGACCCCAATTTTTGGATTTGATTTTTAATTAAGATATGTGTGTAGAAAGTAAAAATATACTTGACAAAAAAAGTTTAAGACTTTGAATATCAGGATCGAACGTCGTTAATTTCATACAGCGAAAACTTTTATTAATAATTTAGCCTCAAAGATAATAATTTACCTCGATAAAAAAAACATTTAAATACTAGTACTCTCAAATTGCAAATTCCTTGTACATTGCCGTTTATTTTAACATTCAACATCAAGCAAACTTACTTTCATTGCCTGGAATGTGACAAGTTTTTAAAACTTAAAGGTTGTTTTGAAGAATTTAATCTTAGTGAAATATTATATTTTGTATCGACAAAATCATTTCTCTCAACTAAAGTGCGATAAAGATTACCTTTTTAAGATAACATGTTTTAGCGTTATACTTTCCACTTGTTTACCTGAAATACATGGTACTAAAAAACACAACAAAAAGCTATTTTCTTTTAAAGACGTCATAATAATGTAAGAAATATAATTAGATATTCCAAAAACAGACGTCGTGCTTTGACCTTTATATCTTATAAATGACATGTGGTAGAGTATATAATGTAGAACTATAAAGTTTTCAATCATAATCACACAAAGATGGCCCCTTATAAATTACTCCTGTTAATAATTTTTGGTAAGTGCTTTTTTTTTTTTTTTTTTTTTGGTAACTGACTTTCAGAAACTGAATTTAATATAAACAAGCACATACATTAAATTTATTAAAATAATTTGTTAACTTAATTGGTGTAGGTCAAGAGGCTTCTTCTCCTTGAAAATCACAATAAATGAACAATACACTTACTGTAAATTAAGGCTGCATTCTGTTATTTTTTGTTTGAAAATTTTAATGACACATTAAATTGCATCAAATTTATGGTTTTTAAGAATTGTGAATTTTTGCCTAGATTTTTTTTTTGTCAATTTATAACAAGAAAGTTACTGTTGAATTGTTCTTTTTTTTTAATTAATTGTTCCACAGGTGAAAATATTTTCCTATACATGTTTTTGTAACACAGGTATATTCAGAGTTAGAAGTCAACAATGTGATTTAACTGCTTCTTTGCAATGCATGGCGTCTTTCTCGTCGATTCCAAAATTCCAAATATCTGCATACACAGATGAGTTCAAAGGAAGTCCTAAAACTCTTGTGCAAGAGATGTGCTTGTAAGTCATTTTGTCCAATTTTCCTTGTTAATATAAATATATATTTATGTAAAAAGAATAAAATATTTACAGTTTTACCACACAAAATGTAGTAGGAATTCAGATGAGTTGATACTTGCTTCACTGAGTAAATGAAGATTTGGCAATTTCAAATTTTCAACTAGTTTATTTAACGAATTTACGTTTAATTTATCGTAGAAAACTCAAAGAACTCTATGACTGTGTTGGGGACAAGTTATTAGGGTGTGCTCCACAGTATCGGCTCATTTACGAAACCGCAGTGTCGTCCGGAAGATTTGTTTGTGGGATTGGAAAACAAGGTTGGTATAATTACTATCCCATTAAAATGACGAAACATTTCTCCGGCATTTATTTTTTTATAATCATTACATGTTAATTAATTATACGACGTCCATAGTTTACTTTCAAAAACATGGCGTTTAAAATAGTTGGAGAATGCCATTGAAGACTCAAAATGTTTTACTTCTAAAGTAATGAATAGTTATGATAACTCAGCTATATGTTATCAATTCATTTATTCAATCTGCCTAATATGTACAATAAAGTGAAGACATCAAACCTCTTTGATTCCATGTAAACATTTCATGTAAAATAATTTGCTTAGAACACACGTATAATATAATTTGTAATTATTCTCTTATCCAGGGTTCATAGACCACTTTAGATGTCTGACTACACAAACTATGAAAAATAATTCGTTCAGATGTGGTGGAAGAATAATAAGTGTTATTAGAGAAATATTCTCAAATCCAACTTCAGTGCTAACAGACCTGGCATCTAAAGCAGATGAACTTTGCATGTAAGTTAGCTTTTTTTTAAATAATAAAATGTCTCCTTTGGAAATCAATGGAACTGTAACAGTCTCGATTTGCGTAAACGTTATTATCTTAAAATTTCATGTATAATTTTAATAAAAATACATAAAATATATTGAATTGTTTAAGAGGATTGATTCATTTTAATGATTTATTTTTACTCTTATTAAAGTAACTCCAATGACACTCTGAAGTGTGTCGTAAAGTCTACATCCGGTCAATGTGGTACTGGTGCAGCATCCTATGTCCAGCAGTATATGGACGCGTCTGTTTCCCCTTTGAGATCCTTCTTTTCCTGTGTTGGTGAAGTTAAAGGTGAGAATATTTTTGATGATGTTAATATTAAACTACTTCGACAGATTAAAGAAAACAATTTTGTTTTTGAAGTATTCGTTTTCAAATGATGATGTATTTTTATTATTCAGAACCCTATAAGACTTCATTTGTAAATGTTGAACCAAAGCAAAACACTGAATACCCATCCATACCACAGACAGAGAAGATTTTTGGGTCTGAAACCCGGTTAATAACGTCAAAACCAACACAAAATGCAGTCACAAACCAGATTTCATTAACTGAACAAGATTCGTTAAATACTATGCCCAAACCAAACCAAGCTCTGTTTTCCAGAAGGGAATCAATTCGCGGTAAGGTTTTAACAGAATCAAAAAATGTACTGGAAACGGTATTACCTGAACAGGAACAAAGGGTTGAGCCAAAACCGTCGATACCTGAACAGGAACCAACAAGTGAACCAGAACCGGTGTTTCCTGAACAGGAACCAACAAGTAAACCAGAACCGGTGATATCTGAACAGGAACCAACAAGTGAACCAGAACCGATGATACCTAAAAAGGAACTAATAGGTGAACCAGAACCGGTGATACCTGAAAAGGAACCAACAAGTGAACCAGAACTGACGATACCTGAAGAGAAACCAATGAGTGAACCAGAACCAGCGATACCTGAACAGGAACTAACAGGTGAACCAGAACCGGCAATTCCTGAACAGGAACCAACAAGTGAACCAGTAGCTGAGAAAACTAAAACAGTGAACTCTAAAGTAATTTTGAAAGTTGGGAAGCAACAGGATGTTGATACAACAAATCAGAACTCAGTTGAACCATCTAAACGTGGAACTGAACGTATATCATCTCCGAAAGCAGTTAATGGGTTGATTGACCATAAAAAACGGAATATATCTTCTGTTAGAATTAAAGAACCTGAAAATGTGTTACAAACGAAACAGCCTGCAACAAAGCCAGACTCTGTAACACCTTTCTTCACCAAAAAGCAACGAAATATGGTGTTCCCTGATTCTATAAGCAAAACAGAAACCTCTCCAAAGGAAAGAGTTTCAAACAACGGTCAAAAAGACCAATCGACTATTAATGAATCTGTTCCCAAAATATTACGTGTTCGCGTGCCAATTCGTTTTCAGAGACTTTCTTCTACTACCACAACAACTACAATAGCTCCTCTCGTGACAGCCACCGTATCACAAACTTGCAAAAAATTCTGCTTCCGGTTCAGGGATTCTAGTCTTTTTACTTCGATACAGAAACAGCGATATGACCTTTTATGTGATAGAACTTGCAGTGCTGGGAGTTGCCAAACAAGTGTATGTACAATGAACTGTGGTTGTCCCAGAAAGTTGGTTTGTACGTATACAGGACAAAGGAGGCGATGGGCAGGGGACGGCTGGTGTAATAACCTGTGCAGACAACGATCACCATTGTGTCGACAAACTCAATGCAGATGTCAATATGCTTAAATGTAAATCTTGTTGTTTATTATCAAGGAATTCCACTTTGTTGTTGTTGTAAAGTATAATATGAAGCACAAAATATTTTATTATGTCTTTACTATTTTTGTAATAAAGTGTTACCGTAAAAATAAAGGAATCTTAATTTAATTCACATGATAAAATTACTTGTCATATTGAAATTTTGAGTTACTGTAAAACAGTCAACAGTCGTAGTATGTCGTATTGTTTGTTATTCCTCTTTTCACATTTAATTCGATACTCTATAAATGCGTCAAACAGTAACGTTTAAAATACCTAAAGCCATGATCTTACATCAATATGGGATTTGGATTAGATAAAAACATTTTTATTGTTGTGGGTATACAATGCAAAGTGTTGCAAGTGTTATATGTAAAGCTTTTGAAAATCAGTGCTTTATTAAAATGATATATCATTTCAAATTTGTATTTATAGCCTTCGTGATACAGGTAATACTATAAGGAAAAAATGCGTTGTTTCCCGCAGATCTCTTATTTTCCTTTGAACAAAAGGATGAATTATTGATTTAAATGGATCATTTATAATTGTTAAGATGCAATCCCATGAAAAGTGTTAGATCTATCTCCTAATTAAAGTGGGGAAAATCATATCTAAGATCTTCCAAAACATATTTTTTAAAACTCACTAGCGGTGAAAATTAAACCTGTTTTACATTTTAGACAACCGATGTAAAATGGTTTCTTACAATTGCAAAAAAACCCTTGAAAACTACATGCATTTGTAATAATTAAGAATACTTTACTCCATTCACATTATCAATTTTTGAGCAAAACAATTTTTAAACTGTCAGTTTTAAGAAGTTGAACTCATTCATAATCACAGGTTATCAATATAGAGAAAAATAAATATGCACTAGTTTGTAATACAAAAAGTGCATAACCCCAGGTATTGTGGCAGTCAATAAGTCACATGTTATCAATAAATAATATTTTAAATATTCTTTTTAATTTCCTAATTTATACTTTCACATTTTTAGATCCAAAATTATTTTGTGTAAAGAACAGAAATGTTTTAAATGATTTTCATCTGTTCTTTTGTTTAAAGTTGGTGACGAAATGACGAAAAAAATAATTATTTTTTGATAATAGACGGATTCATTCTTCGTTATACACATACGTACAAAAGACACCACAGAGACTGTCACAACAGTTTCATAGTTAGATGTTTTACTGACTTTTTTGGATAAAGTGCAAGTAAAAACTGTATGAGAGACGAGATTACCAGCATTGCCATACAAATGATAATGTCTCAACGTGAGTGAAAATTCTCGAAGGAATGTACAACAACAAGCAAAATTAAAATGATACAAAAGGTATTTCAACAACTCCCTTTTGCAGTCATTTATTTTGAAAATTCGATGATCATTATAATGAAGTTTTAACAAAGTATAACCTATAATTGGGGTTGTATTTTGGCCGATGTGTGCCATACCAATATTTAGGCCTTTGCTTTACTAATTTTACTGAGGTAGTTCCGTCCACTTGATTATTACATAGTATGATGGGTGTGACCAGTTAATATGTAATATTTATAATTACCCTCGATCCCATGCATCTCTAGAATTTCCGAGCTCTGTGTTTTATTCCCTTTTTCATCCTTTTTTTTTTCAAAAAAAAAATCAAAACATTTTTATTAATTGTCAAAGAAATTATTATTGAAAAGGTTATAATGACAAGTGAATAAAAAATAAAAGAAATATTTTTTGTCCTGGTTTAATTTCTTTAATTATTTCCCTCCATTGAAGTGAAAATTTTCAATATGATAGTATTATTTTCTTTCAAACTTTGGGTAATTAATCAATATTGAGGTCAATGAGTGGAGAGTCCAACCAACGAATCGTTTTATCTGTTACCACACATTACATCATAGCCCTTCCTATGCCTTATGTCTTTCTGGTAAGCATCAACACGAACGATTATCTATATAAATATAAATGACAAATTATTGGAAGAAATGAAGTCTTTTTATTACTCATCAACACTGACAATTAATTTCTACTACATGTTTGTTATTTATTTACGAATTAAATGATATATATTTTCATAAAAGCCTGACTTGAGTATTACATATATTTTAAAGATGTAATTTTTTCACAATATTTTCACGATATTTCTTCTTTGACGTACTTTACACATTTCACCTCCTTCTCGAGGAAACGTATTTGACAGATGGACGCATGTAAAACACGACCCACAACAAACCAAGTGTGTCATGTTTTGTTTACGTAATGAGACACGCTTTACTGATTTTCCCAATAAAACGCAAGGTATGCCATTCAGACGGCATTACTACAAAAGACATAACTTCATCAACGATTGTCAAAATTTACTACTACTTTCACAATTACGAGGGATAACTCATTCTTTTCGTTCATAAGCAAGAAAAGCAATGCTCTTACTAACGTCGTTGTTGTGTATCAATATTGCAACTGGTATGTATGATACAATGTATAGATGTTAAAATCAGTTTGAAACTCAATGATAAATTTTTAATTTTTTATAACCTCTATGATTTGTTTTTATTTTTTTTCCAAAAGAAGCATTAAGAAAATGAGTTCACATGCATAATTTGAATTAAATGTTAAAATATAGATTTATCTCACTGAATTAGAACAGAGAAAATATCAAGAGAATAAAAGTACTGTACCTAGATTCCATGTATGTTAGCTCCTTTTTGATAAATTCATTGATTGTATTAACTTACTTTTTAAGAAGAGGGTTCTGTGTGTCATTACAGGAATACTCAGTCAAACATGTGACATTCTCTCGGCTAACAAATGCTGGTCTCCTCTTACTGCCACCATGGGAGATTTAGTTCCAAGCTCAACTCCCAAGCATACTTCTCCAGCTTTTAAAGTCAACAACGTATGCAGGTAAGCAATACATATCTATATAGCGCTCTCACATGTACATTTTACAATTATATAATGTTAGTTCTCTCGAACGTTTGAAATCACATCTATTACCAAGAGTTTACTAAACAACAAACACAATATTGTTTGAATTTTTAAGAGCATTTACATACACAAGCATGCATGTATTTGATAAATAGAATGTTTTTAAAAATACAAAATTTTGTCCATACCTTTGCTTATATATGGAATATATTTGATTATTTCAGTGGACTTCATAAAGTTTTCAGCTGTTCTGAAAGCAAAATGTCGGCATGCAATCCAGGAGACCGTCTTCTTTATGATACTGCAAAATCCTCCAGCACCTTCCTTTGTACCAAAGGGAAACAAGGTTCGTTTTTCTAGCGATGAATCTAAAAACTGATTTGCTTGACTTTTCATCCTTTTTTCAGCTGATCAACCTCTATATGTAAATGACGTTTCTTGCATTGACATACTTGGTATCCTATAAATGTAATCATCATAGCTGTCAAAAAATAACGTTTATACATGCCATAGAGTACATATATAGTAATAAATGTTTGTACTTCAGCATGCTGGAAACCATTTTCAATGCTAACTTTTTATTTTGAATGAGAACATCATTATCATGAAGAGGACAAACATCATGATTTAACTTATCATTTTATAATCTTTTTTTTATTTTACTCTTGTCTAGGATATATTGAGCATGCTCACTGCCTGTTTAGTGAAGCTTCACGTAGAAGTATGAAGAAATGTACTTCGGAGGCAGTGACATTGATTCAAAACTTCATTTTACCAATGGCTGATCTCTCGGAATTAAAAGGAATATCAAAAGAATTATGTGGGTAAGCATGTAATGTATTTCAAATGTAATAATAGACATAATTTTGAAAATTAAACTTTTATTTACTCAAAATATTTATACAGCTCTTGAAGAAATATTTCAATTGATTCCATATTTATGAAACATTTTAAGATTATCATTTTAATTGGATTATCAATGAAGCCATGTATCAATTTTTTTAACCAATATAATAATCTCTCATTTAAATTTTAGGTTTGCCTCCGCCGTTCGCTCATGTCTTGTTTTAACAGCAAACGAAAATTGTGGGAAGCCTGCCGCTTTATATCTACAGCAATACGTAGATGCCACAATCAAACCAATGTCTGATTATCTGTCATGCTCATCGCCAAAGTCAGAATTAGGTAAGAAAAAAAATTTAAAAATAATAGAGAAAACTAGGACATATTTATAAAAGACTCATGGTAAATCTTATTTAATTTATGACAATGAATACCAATTAATACAAAATAAAAAAGAAGTAAACAATTATGATCATTATCATCAGGCTTTTAACTTTACTTTTATTTGTACAGATGTGACCTATTATCCTTCCTCTGGTAATTTAGAAGGCAAAACAGAGACCCAAACAACAATGAATCCAACCCCTCAAAGCACGCAAAACATTCCAAGTTCCTTTATGGGCATAAATGGACCAAATACAGACATTCTAAACACCATACAACCTGAAGAAAATGTGAAAAGTACTAAAACAAGCGTCCCAAAGTGTGACCGGTATTGCTTTGTTTTTACTCACGACTTATCACCGTCCCTAAAACAGGGATATGATGACTGGTGTGAAATTAATTGTCGCCAGGGATTCTGTCCACAGCGCACGTGCACATGTAATTGTAATCCCGTGCGGAGGAAGATTGTGTGTGAAGCGGTCGACCTGAGATTTAAGTTGCAGTCACGTGGTTCGGAGTGGTGTAATGCAGTTTGTAAGCAAGGATTTTGTCCCAGGAATTACTGTAAATGTAGAGTAGAACTGGAATCGCAACATGTTCCTTCACCATTGTGATGGTTCTCAACTGTTTCAGATTAAAATAAATTCTACCTCAGTATTTTGAAAAAAAAAAAAAAATACTTGAAACCATTATATACTATGAAATCCAATACAATGTATATAGTTATTTTTTTACCTTTTATTTTGTAAAATTTACATGTTTGTATGATGAAAAACAATACTAGTTTGAAAAAAGTATAAAAACTTCCAAAGTATTGAAGAAGAAAATTTGTTTTAAATCCACCTCAATAAGTTAACTATAATATTTTTACTTTCCTTATTTGAC